TCCTGCCTCAGCCTCTGAGATGCTGGGATTACAGGAGTGTGTCACCATGCCCGGCATGGGCAGGGTTTTAGATCCCTGGATCCCTTCCTAATTTGGGGCTCACATAGGGGGCCTGTGCAAGGGGACCCTTGGCCTACTAACCAAGCTTCCTTGGCAAGAGCCCAGATGCTGCCCTGAGGCCCAGATCAGGACCTTCATTCTTTACCCTCTCCAAATCCTTTCCATCTTTATTGAGAGTAAAACCCAAGAGTCCTGTGGCCTTCCAGAGCCCCCCAGCACTGGCTCCTGCAGGCCTCACCTGTCATCTGCCCCCTTTATCAATTTTCTCTGGCTCCAGTGGCCTCTTCTGTGTTCCTCAAACACCCCTAATTCTCCCACCCCTGGACATTTGTACATGCTGCTCCAATCAAAGAGTCCCTGCTCTGGATGGTACCAGCCTAGCTCTTCCTCCTCCTGAGCCATGGGTCAGGGGCCCTGGGGACAGGTTGTCTAGGCTCTTGTGTGTGACAAAGAGTCAGGGGCAGCACACAGCAGCAAAGAAACAGTGGCAAGGACAAACATGTGCTTGGAGCGAGCAGGGTCTCACTGGGGAAAGGGAAATGCAGGAGCCACGAGGCTATGGGGCAACAGAGGGGCCTCTCTCAGTACTCTTGGGTCTTTACAGAGCGACAGTTTCTGAAAGGAGCCACAAAAGTCTGGGCATACAGGATTTCAGACCCCTTTCCTTGCCTTTTGTAGAAAAGTTTTAACCAAAGAACGATATGGTTTGTTGTTGTTTTGTCTTGAGGTAGGGTCTCACTCTGTAGTCCAGGCTGGCCTTGAACTCACTATGTAGCCCAGACTGGCTTCGAATTCATGGTAATCCTCCTGCCTCAGCCTCCCAAATGCTGAGATTACAGGCATGCACCATAATGCTCAGCTAATCTGACCATTTTGACTGCCAGTCTGTAACCATTTCTTTGTTTATACCAGGGCCTAACAGAGAGGTTGGTTGAATGGGTAGTGTGTTTCCTGTCATGCTTTGTGGCACCTCTGAAGAGAAAGAGAAGTGTAGGTCTTTCCAAGGGTATCCCCACAGAAGAAAGGAGACCTGTTGAGCTGCTCCGGGCACCCACACACACCCCATGAAACTGGCACTACCTCTGCTGAGTCCTGTGAGGGTAAAGACCATATCTCTTATCTCAGGTTTCCTGGAGTCCACCTGTCAGCTGGGAAATGCAGTGGAAAGGTGAACTGGGATGGCTTTGAGGTGTCAGGACAGGGCCCCTGAGCACGGGCCTGGCTGAGGACAGCGAGAAATAAAGGTCCTCTGGGGGGACACGCCAATGAGGCTTCGATCCTGGTGGTCAAAGCATTAGGAATAACATAAAAAACATCATTTCACAGCAATATATGTGCATCCATGGTTATAGCAGCACAATTTGTAATAACCAGATCTTGGAAACAACTTAAATGCCCATCAGCTGAGGAATGGATGAAAAAGATGTGGTATTTTTATACAGTGGAGGGCGATTCAGCCATAAGGTATAACTTGCGATTTTTATAGGTAAATGGATGCAACTTAAGACCATACTCATTAGTGAAATAAATAAGACACACTGTGTGATCGTCCTTTTGTCTCACTAGTATGAGAAACTGAAAGAAACAACATATGTATATGTGTATTTTTAAAAATTGAAAATGTATTAGGAATAACAGAAATATGAAAATGAAAGGCAAAAGAGACTGTTTTGGGTTTTTTGGTAAGGGATCGAACTCAGGACCTCACAAACAGGTGCTTGTGCCGCCGAGCTAGACCCCCGGCCCCAAAAAGAGACATACTAAATTTTAGGTCTCAAAGTCACAGGTTCAATCCCCACTACCAAAAAAAAAAAAATCAATCAATCAATAAACAAACAAACTTTAGGTCTCACACACATGGAACCCGCTGGGCAGGTAAACATTTCCTTGCAGTTGGCAGAACCTAAAATTGTCCTTCCCGTGACTGGGTGAGCTGCAGACGCCCTAGTGGCTCTCAGCTCTCTGACTCATATCCATAACAAGTGACCCAAAGGCACGAAACAAACAAACAGACAAAACAATCCAGGACAGAGAAGACAGGAAAAGAAGAAAATATTACTTTACCCGCAAGAGGGGCTTGTCTCATTACTGGTTTGCCAAGAAATGCTACTAGCATTCGGGCCCCAGGGGAAATTCTTTCTAGGATCCTGGCATCCTAAATAAAGAATTGGACAAGACACACAGAAAAAGCAGAGGGGTGTACATTTATTTATGTGTGTGTGTGTATATATATGTATGATAACTGGGAATCGAACTCATGACCTTCTGCTTGCCAGGCAGGGGCTTATGCTGCTGAGCTAAATCCCCAGCCCTAGCCCAGGATATACATTTATAAAAAGGTTTTCACCAGCTGACTGTCTTTCCTGTGCGTCCTCTCCAAGGACCAAGAAAGAAGCCCTGTGGGCCCCCTGCGGTAACTGCTTTAGGTCAGGTCACGTGGAACGTCTTGGCCCCGGGTAGACCCTCTGGCAGGGAGGTCGCTAAGTGGCCACAAAAGAGTCAGCTCCAAGAGAACCCGACATACCACAGCCTTCGTGGCCATGCACCCCTCTGCGGGCTACCCTCAGATGGAGGGGAGCCTGAGGGTCCCTCACAGACAGGCCAGACAGGCAGAGCGGGCCCTCGAAGGGCTGAGCACGGTGAGAAAGGTAAGGTTCAGATGTGCTCTGCCTTGTCTCTACGGCCTTCTAGCTCCCCACTGCCTTCAAGAGAAAACCAACACCTTCACATACGGCCAGGCTCTGTAGGAGCTGGCCCTGCCCAGCTCTCTCACTCTTCTCCGGTATTTTCTACTTTTTTTCCTTTTTTTTTTTTTTTGCCTGAGACAGAGTCTTGCTGTAGCCCAGGCTGGCCTCGAACTCACAGCGATCCCCCTGCCTCAGCCTCCAGAGTGCTGAGATCACAGGCATGGGCCACCACACCCGGCCCTATTCCTTTTTAAAACTTTATTTTGAAGCTGAGCAAGGTGGCACATGCCTACAATCTCAACACTCTCAGAGGTTGAGACAAATTCAAGCCCAGCCTGGGCAAGTTAGGTAAACCCAGTCTCAAAATATAAAAGGCTTAGGGACATAGTTCAGTGCAAAGGTCCTGGGTTCAGTCCTCAGAACCAGGAATAAAAAAGAAGAAAAGAAATGAGTTCCTGAGAACCAGGTAGAAGTCCAAGCCTGGGTTACTTATGTTCTATTCATAAAATTTAAATAACACAGACATCTGACATAAAACATAGGTAAGTGAAAGCAATGTCTTTAGTTGTCACCCTGTCACCTCAGGCAGCAGGTGAAAAGTTCCAGAGGCAGGGAGCTGGTGCTTTACCCTGGTGCTCTCTGTGCCTGGTACACAGAGCCCCGCAGATACCTGTTAGAAGAAAAAACAGCCCTACAATCCTGTCTTCCCCAACCCCCATGCCAAAGTCACTGCTGTTATCAGTTTTGTTTTGCTTATCTAGATCAGTACCATCCACTAGAATGTTCCAAGGACAAAATATCCTGAGTCTGCAGGGCCAGTATGCCAGCCACCAGCTGCACGGCTGGCAGTGAGGGGCTGAACACAAGATTTTATTCAATTGTAATTAATTTGCATTAAAATGTAAATAGCCACCTGTGGGTTAGCGACAGCCACAGCAGACAGAGCTGCCCTAGGCTCTTTGTACCATGCATTTGCATACACTGTGTACACGGAGACTAATTTGCTCTGCTGTGTTTTACATAAAGTTTTATGCTCTTTGTAGCCTTCTGTCCCTTGGTTTTTTCCACTGGCCACTACATCATGAAAGTCTTTTTATACAGATCTGTCTCATTCTTTTTAACTGCGCTCAGAATTCCATGATGTGGACATGCCAAAATTGGCTTAGTTGTTCCATATTGAGAGACTTTACCTAGGTGATTTTCAATTTGCCTGTATAACATACAGAGCTACAAGCCAGGTGTGAAGGCACATGCCTGTAATGCCAGCACTCGGGGAGGCTGAGGCAGGAGGATCATTGCAAGTTCGAGACCAGCCTAGGCTACAAAGTGAGCTCAAGGATCAGCCTGAAATGTATAGTGAGACCCTGTCTCAAAAAGACAGAGACAAAACCAACAAAACCAGAGCTAAAATGAATATTTTTATTCAGGCCTCCTTGGCACATGCTAGACCAATAAAAGGTCACCTTTATCTGAAACGCTCAGGACCATGAGTGTTTTTTTTTTTTTTTTTTTTTGGGTACCAGGGATCGAGCTCACAACCTAGTGCTTGACAGGCAGGTGCTTATGCTGCAGAGCTAAATCCCCAGCCCCCATGAATGTTTCTGATTTCAAATTTTGGGGGGTTCTGGAGTCCGGGATTGACTGGTTGAACACCCCTAATCAGAAATGACAAGTGCGTAATCGAAAAGTTTTGGATTTTGGAGTACTTTGGATTCTACATTTTGGGATTAGGGATGCAACCTGTACTAATAATAGTTAACATTTTAATAATAGTAATAATTGTTCATATTTACTGAACTGATAATATATGCCAAACCCTACTCAGCCTAGGCTCCTTGTCTACAGTAAATGATCTAACTTTTTTTTTTTTTTTTTTGATACTCGGTACTGAATCCCAGAAACACTGAACTCTGCCAGCCATTTGGCTAGGGGGATGGGTACCAGCATTCAAACTCAAGAACTCACACTTGCCACGCAGGTGCTTATGCTTCTGAGCTATATCCCTGGCCCTTTTTTTGTCTCTTTGAGACAGGGTCTCACTGTGTGGTTCAGGCTGGCCTTGAGCTCACTTTGTAGTCCAGGCTGGTCTTGAACTTACGATGAAATGATTCTGCTACCTCAGCTTCCTGAGTGCTGGGATTCCAGGCGTGTGACACCAGGCCCAGCTCAAGGCCGTTTGAATATTTAATTCTTATTACAATTGAATGAGAGGTCTTAGTACTGCCTCCATAGTACAGTTACAACAACTGAGGCTCAGTTTTAGAAATTTATTCAAAATTACCCAGCCATCTGATCAGCTTACAGTCCTGAGTTTGATTCCTGGTACAAAAAGAAAAAAAAATACCCAGTCAGCAAAGGACAGGGGCAGGATCAGAAGCCAGTTTTCCCTCCCCGGTCCATGCTTTCCTAGCTCTACCAAACGGGCCTGTGTCACACCTGGGCCTCCTCCAGCAGGGCGGTGCTGCCACTTGGGGACCCCTCTGCAAGGCCGAGGCGCTGGCCCCATCTCAGGTTAGATGCATTTCCTGCAGCCTTTCCAGCTGGGTCCGTCTGGGAAGCGCTAAGCTACCCACGTCGCCCCTTCAGCCCGCAGTCCTGTCTTCTTGCTGGCCACAGATGACGGCGAGAAGCAGGCTGGGTTATGTAACCAGAGGAACAGCGATACCAGCCAGCTCACTGATGAGAGGCAAACAGGAAAGCAGGCAGGCAGGGCTTCCTGGAATCCAGGTCTCTGAGCTGCCAAAACGGGCCTCCTCTCCTAGGAACAATTGAATGTCACTGGGTAACCCAACACTGCTGGCCGCACAGGCCTGCTGCCCACGCCTCACAGAGCAGCCTGTGAGAGCCAGGCTGGGCCCGGAGGGAGAAAGGGCCTTGGCAGGGTGCCCTGGAGGCCATCCGAGGAGACGCTGCAGCGCCAGGCTCCACTCGGGTCTCGGCCATGTGACGGCGCAGGTCACAGGCTCGGATGGACAGGACCTGGGCCCAGGGAGCACCAGGCAGGGGCACTGGCTCGTGGTTAGTCCCTGAACCCAGGGCTATTTTATTTGTCTAATGGATTGGTTGGTTGTCTTTTTGAGACAGGGTTTCACGCTGTAGTTTAGGCTGGCCTTGAACTCACTATGTAGCTAGCCCAGGCTGGTCTTGAACTCTTGGCAATCCTCCTGCCTCAGCCTCTGTTGTGAGGGGATTACAGGCTCTCACCACACATCCTGCTTCACATGGCAACTGTTTAAGTCTTTTCGGAGGCATCTACATGCTACAACTCTTTAACTTCGCTAAAGAGAACAAGTGAATGTAACTCCGGTTGAGTGTTCATGTGCCTGTAATCCCAACAGCTCCGCAGGCTAGCTCGAGGGTCACAAGTTCAAGACCAGCCTGGGCATCTTAGACACAACCTATCTCAAGGCATTACAAAGAAGGGGCCCCAGAGGTGTAGTTAAGGGCAAATTACCTATAACCAGAAAGAGAAAGAGAAGCACAATGATGTGGCTGTGTGTCAATAAAACTTAATTTTTGGACACTGAAACTTGCATTTCATATGACTTTCAAACTACAAAATATTATTTTACATTTTTGACATTTAAAAATATGAAATTTCTCTTAGCTTGAGGACCTCACACACAAGACAAATAATGGGTTTAGCAAAGAATTTAGCATAATGCAGGATATATTTAAGTGTCCAATCATTAAAAATAAACTGGGTGTGGTAGTACATGCCTACAATCCCAGCACTTGGGAGGCTGAAGCAGAAGGATCTCTGCAAGTTAGAGGCTAGCCTTGGCTACATAGCAAGACTCTATCTCAAAAAACAACACAACAAAAATAACAACCATCATGTTGAAGAGGGCACACAGAATGCATAAAAATAGATAGAAGAGACTGTATAAGACTTCACTGGGGAAAATGAATAGATTTATTAAATTCTTGTTATATGCCAGACCCTGGGCTCAGTCATTTAGTTACATTTGTGTGTTAATAAATCATTAATCCTGTTATCACACCCATTTTGTAGATGAGGAAAGTAGAGGAACAGCACAGTCAAGGTACTGGCAGGGCTGGGACTCGCAGAGAATGTAGTTCTGAAGCCCACATTTATTGTCATCTGCGATATTTCTAAGTGCTTATACTATTGCACCCAGGGTCTTTACACTAAACTACATCCTTAATCCTTAGCCTTTTTTTTTCTTTTGTCTTTCTGAGATAGGGTCTTGCTATGCAGTTTAGGCTGGAATTGGGCTCACTTTGTAGCCCAGGCTGGTCTCAAACTCTCAAGGATCCTCCTGCCTCAGCCTCCTGAGAGCTGGGATTATAGATATGCGCCACCACACTTGGCTCATCTCTAGTCTTTTTTAAAAAAAATTTTCTGGGGGGAGAACATGGTCTTATTAAGTCACTAAATTGCCCAGGTTGGTGCTGAATGTGTTGCCCTCCTGAGGGGTGGGATTACAGGAATGTATCACTGTCCATAGGTCCAGGAACCCTCATTTTATAAAGAAGGAAAGTGAGGTTCATAGAGAGAAAGTATATGGACTAACATCACACAACTGACAGAGGGCAGGCTGGGCTTTGAACCCAGATAATCTACTTTTTTTTTTTTTTTCTTTTTCTTTTTTTATCGGTACCGGGGATAGAACTCACAACCACACACTTGCAAGGCAGGCACTTATGCCACTGAGCTAAATCCCCAGCCCCAAGATAATCTGCTTTCTTTCTTTTTTTTTTTTTTTTGCCACTAATTTGGAATAAAGATAATCTACTTTCAAAACCGATTACTCAGTCATCATCCTATTTCAAAACCGATTACTCAATCATCATCCTATATCTCGTTCTCTCAGCACAATTTTTCGAGACAGAATCGTACTTTGTAGTGCAGGATGAGATTACAGGCGTGCCCCCACCATGCCCAGTTTATCATATCATATTTTATCTAAATCATTCTCAATTATATGAAATACTAACTCAGACCTGGAATTTGCAGGTCAAAGAGTAAGGTGGGTGTGGTGGTACATGCTTGTAATCAACAGCATGAGGGAAGCTGAGGTAGGCATATTCCTGAGTTTAAAGCCAGCCTGAACTATATTAGTGAGATCCTGTCTCCAAAAGAAAAAAATAAAAGATAAACGTAGGGACTTCTGATCACATCACAAAGGGAATAGGTTGGGCATCGAGCTGCTGGTAGTGCCGAGCAAGTGGTGGCAGTTAAGGGTAAGGCCATGAGGGCCTATAGATCAGGCATAAGCCACGGCTCAGTCTTGCTAGCTGGGAAATCCTGGGCATGTCACTTCACTAGCCCGAGAATCCCCTCATCACCAGACAAGCTCTGCTTTCACTGATCCTGACCTCACTGCTGGGCTTGAACTGTATCCCACCGCGGCCTGGTTAGCATTCCTTCCTCCGGACAGTTCTGATGATGAAAAATGTGAGCACTGCATGGCAGGAATTTCTGCTTCTCTTTCCCCAGACAGTTCTCAAAAGAGCCAGAAAAACGGATGAAGGCCAAACACTGAGAACCTATGAATTCCCAGGAATCATCAGGAATGGAGTAGAAGAGAGGCCGTCAGAGTGAGCCTCCAGGCTCTCATCAAACTCGCTGCAATGGACGGGGTAGGGCACTGTGGAGGGCGGCAGCCAGGAGCACTCTGCTGGAGACAGAAACCTGCTAACACCAGCTTCAGCCAAGAGATGATTGGCTCCCTTAATTAAAAACACCGCCAGGAGTGGCAGCTCTACCAGGAGTGTATCCAAGGGTTCAAATGCCACTCCACGGACATCCCCTCTTTCTCCACCTCTGTGCTCTTACCGTGAGGTCACCCTGCTAGAGACAAGATGAACATAGGATTTCGGGGCTGGAGCTGAGAGATCCTGACCTCTCATTGGTTTCAGTGATGAGTTCCAGAATGAAGTCTCATTGGTTCTAACAGGGTCATGTGCCCATCTCTAAACCAATCACTGTGGCCTTGGAGATAAAGGCTGTGATTGGGTAGCCTAAAGCCAGGCAAAGATGGAAGCAGTTTTGCCTGAACTCCAGGGACAGATTGTAGGAGGGGAGGCCAGGTGTGGTGGTGCACTCCTGTAATCCCACCAACTCGAGAAGCCCCAGCAGGAGGATCGTCTGGAGTTTAAGGCCAGCCTGAAGTATAATGCAAGACCCGGGTCTCAAACAAACAAATGCAAAACAAAAAATTACCAAGCCTGGTGACACATGCCTGTAATTCCAGCACTCAGGAAGGCTGAGGCAGGAGGATTACCACAAGTTCAAGACCAGCCTGGACACACAGCAAGACCCTCACTCAAAAGGCAAAAAAAAAAAAAAAGCAAAAAATAAACAAACACCTGGCTTGTATATCTAACTGCTATTTGTCACTGTGTAACAGGAATCTCAAGGTTAACAAGGTCAAAATCAAACTTCTGATTCCTGACTCTCCCAAACCTATTCTTCCTGACCAAATACCTACTTGCTCAAACCAGAGACAGCTCTTTCACCCACTTTTCCTACCCAGCCCATCCCCCAGGCCTGTCCCACTTTCCCGGGAGTCCAGAGGATTCCCCCACCAAGTCAGTGAAAAAAGGCTCTGGCTTGGCCTCATCCTGTCCAGACTCCAAGCGGTATGCGCTCAAGGTCGCACGCTTCCAATCTGCAAAGGGAAGATGCTTAAGGTGTCATTGGTTAGACTACCAGCAGTAAACTCGATGCTCCCTGTGTGGGTGGCAGGCGGCTCTGGGGAGCCAGGGGCAGGGGTCGGCTGAGGAGAGGCTGAGTTGGGAACCCACTCAGCCTAAGTTAGTGGCCGTGACCCCATGGCTCGCCATCCCCGCCTGCACAGTAAGTGGATTTCCTCGCAGCTGTTCTCACACAGGAAGCCTTCAAATTACTCTGGCTGCCTGCCGTCCTGGCCCATCCAGTACCAAGACACAAAAGCACACTGCTGAGGGCACCAAGGCAGAGACAGGCAAAGGACCTGGATCCCTGGTGTAATGCGCTCCTCTAAATGAACACACTCTGTTCTGCGTCCAAGCTTCTCGGGACACGATGTGCTCACAGGTCATCTGCGGCTTTGTACTTGTGTCCCGTGTATCCCCTCGGTACAGCATGTTGCTGACAACACCCAGGGTTTCTGACAAGATCTGCATGCTGGGGAATGCGGGAGGGCAGCTTTAGAGGACAGGGGGGAATTTTAGAGGACAGGCAAACAGACATATTTTTCCTGGTTATGGTGCTTAAGTTTTGTTTTTCTCAGCTTGCATCATCTCAAAAACTAGATAGTTAAAAAAAAACCTAGGTAATAAAACTTCAAAACTCTATAGAACAATTGGGTTTCACCTTTCTTCTAAGTACATGAAATAATCAATTCTTGCTACAAAGTTCAGACTGGTCTTGAACTCACTATCCAATCAAGGCTGGCCTTGAACTCATAGAGATCCTCCTGCCTCAGTCTCCCAGGTGCTGGGATTATAGCACACCACCACACCTGGTAGAATAAATGCATTTAACCTGGCAAGCCTGGCCCCTGCTGTGATAGTCTCTGCGAAGCTGTTGGGGAAGTTTTTGTTGTTGTTTTGGTACTAGGGATCAAACTCACAACCTCACACTTGCCAGGCAGGCACTTATATCAGTGAGCTAAATCCCTGGCCCAGCTGTTGGGAAAGTAAAGAAAGAAATTCACTGTTGAGTTCAGTCACCAGTCAGTAGGAAGCGATTTGACATCCAGAGCCCAGGGACATTCAGATTCTTCCTGCCTGCTCTGCCAGCGCCCAGCAGCTCACCCAGCCCAGCTCAGCCCAAAGTTTCAAAGGATTTCCCCGAAGGGCATCTGGTGCCAG